TCATCTGCTGCTGCGGGTGTGAGGCCCCTGTGTGGCTGTAGCTATCCCAGTATGAAGGGCCTGGAGTGTGTGAGGGACGGGGGTAAGCTGTCCGGGTGTGAGGCCCCTGTGTGGCTGTAGCTATCCCAGTATGAAGGGCCTGGCGGTGTGAGGGACGGGGGTAAGCTGTCCGGGTGTGAGGCCCCTGTGTGGCTGTAGCTATCCCAGTATGAAGGGCCTGGCGGTGTGAGGGATGGGGGTAAGCTGTCCGGGTGTGAGGCCCCTGTGTGGATGTAGCTACCCCAGTACGAAGTGGTAAGCTGTCCAGGTCTGAGATCCCTGTATCTCAGTTTCACTGCGGCCACACTTGGCCTTGGCCTGGTCTAACTCTACCAGTAAAGTCACATCCTACCTGCCTTAGGAGATCGATATGGAGCCGGCCCCATATGGCTTGTCAGGCCTCAGCTCCGCTGCGGCTTTTGCAATGGTGCAGCTACCAGATGGACGAGCTCCTTCACCCTCCCGGCCCGTAACTCCCAGTAGGCCCCCGGGCGGGAGCAGCTGGGATGGTGGCCTGTCAGTACCCAGAAGCAGCCTCCCCGCCCTCGCCAAGACCAGCCGTTGTCCTGTGCCATTGTCCTGCCCCTGGGGAGGTGCAGAGCCCTGGGTTTACCCTCCCGCCGGCCTGGGGGGGAGTGCCCGTCACCCTCCCGCATTTACCCTCCTGCTGCACTGCGGTGGCTCGGCACTGCTGATTGGTCTGAGAGGCATCACAGCAGAGTTTCTGAGCTGAGTGGGAGCCCCATGGATGGAGAGAGCCGTGCTCCCCAGCCCCCGCCATGGCGGCCTTCCCCCGGGCTGTGGCTGAGGGCTGCTTGGGAGACCGTCGCAGGCTGGAGCTGGTTGTTGCTTTGCGGTTCTCTGCCTTGGATGTGTGTAGGACTGCGGTGGTGGGGACCTGCCGTTGCTGCTGGTGCCCTGGCTGGACCCCTCTCTCCCAGGCTGCGAGGAGGGGTTGTGAGCCTCACCAGCAATGCAGAAGTTGAGCGGGAGTGGCGGCCGGCCCCCCTCTTTCTCTGGGGGTGTTCTGCACAGCTGAAGTGTCCCATTTGCCCTTTGGGAGAGTCAGCTCTGGCTGCAGCTCACAGGGGTGGGGGCCGAGGACAGAGCAGAGCGAAGGCCAGGGGGCCCCATCACTTCCAGACCTGGGGCTAGCAGAGCCCTGGCCCGCTCCAGGCCCAGCCCCTCAACCTGCCCGCTGGCTCTGGAGCTGCGCAGTTGGCTCCCTGCTTTTAATAGAGAACTGGGAAGGCACATTATGGAGATGAGGGTGTTATTTGCATAACGCTAATTAGGTAATTACAAATCATTTTGCTATGAGCTGAAGCGTGTGCTGTGACATAACGTTTATTAGTCATTCCATTCGGGCCCTGCGTCGTTCCGTCGTTTGCTGCACTAACTGCTCAAGTTGGGCAATAACCGGCGAACGCTGGCGTCCGGGTGCAGAGATGGGACACGTACCCCGTGTGAACTCAGGGGGTGAGTGGAGAAACACCCACCCCGGGGGGGCCCTGCGGAGAAACCCTCACCCCAGCACCAAGGAGTCCCTCAGCAGGGCCGCCCCACCCCTCCACACACCCACCAGGGAGACCCTGAGCAGAGCCTCCCCCCCTCACCCCCCACATACCAGGGAGACCTTCAGCAGGGCCCCCTCCCGCCCTCCACACACTCACCATCCCTGAGTACATAAGAACGGCCATACTGGGTCAGACCAACCAGGTGCCCCAGTTGCTGAGTCGCCGTGGCGGGCAGATCTGGATGCCGATCTCCTAAGAGAACATGGGCCGGCACAGTGACCCCATCACACACACAGCCCCGGGCTGGTGCAGTATCATTCCCCCCCAGCCGGTGCAGTGACCCCATCACCCCCCCCGGGCCGGTGCAGTGACCCCTCCCTTCTGTTCCAGAACAAGACGAGTCATTCGAGTTCATCATCGTGTCACTGACGGGCCAGACCTGGCTTTTTGAGGCCTCGACGTCCGAGGAGCGGGAGCTGTGGGTTCAGGCCATCGAGAGCCAGATCTTGGCCAGCCTCCAGGGCTGTGAGAGCAGCAAGAACAAGGTGAGGGACCCCCTCCCTGCCTAGGCTGACAGTCGTCCCACTGTGCCCCACCCTGCCCTGCGTGGGCTGACCCCTGCCCACCATGGTCCCTCCTCGCCTAGGCCCCCCCATCAGCGCCTGCTCCACTCACCCCTGCGCAGGCCAGGCCCACCCCAACCAGGCTGGTGCCTGCCCCCATGCACCCCAGCCTCACCCTGCCTGGGTTGGCTCCTGCCCCACCTGGCTCAATGCCAGCCCCACTGCATCCCCACCCTGGTAAGCGTGTGCCCCATTGCGGTCCTGCCTAGGCCACTTCCTGTGTACCCTCCACACCACCAGGCCGGTGCCTGCCCCCCTGCACCTCCAACCCTGCCTGGGCTGGCAACACTCACCCAGGCACTCTCCTGTCCCCCGTGCCCTGCTTTGGCCGGGACAGCCCCCCAGCCCCCAGTGCTGTCTGCCCATCGGAGCGCGGCCCTGGCAGCTGCCCGGCGGCTGGTCTTGAGGACAATGGGAGTGGAGACAGGCCCGGGGGGATAGCCAGCCCCTAATGACTTGGGGGTTTGCCCTTCCTGTTCCAGGCTCGGCTAGGTAGCCAGAGCGACGCACTGGCCCTGCAGACGGTCCGCACTGCACGTGGGAACAGCTTCTGCGTGGACTGCGACGCGCCCAGTGAGTGACGCTGCCTGAGGATGGGGCCCTCCCACCCTGCCCAGGGAAGGGGGGTTTGCGCCCCACAGGGCCTCCCACCGTGCCCCAGGGGCCTCACTTCCCCATGGGATCTTACTGCCCAAGGGAGGCAAAAAATGTGGGTCCCTGGATCCCTGTGGGGCTGGTGACTCTGCAGGTTTGGGGGGGACATGTGGGTCCTGGCTAGGCTAGTGCCCCTGGGGGTGGAGGACGGGCTTGTGGGTCCTGGCAGGGCTGGTGGACGGGCTTGTGGGTTCCTGGGGCCTCGGCTAACACCCCGCACGCTCGCCTTCCACTCTCCAGACCCTGACTGGGCGAGTCTGAACCTGGGCTCCCTCATGTGCATCGAGTGCTCTGGGATCCACCGTAACCTGGGCACCCACCTGTCCCGGGTGCGCTCCCTGGACCTGGACGACTGGCCTGGCGAGCTCATCATGGTCATGACGGCCATCGGCAACGCACTGGCCAACGCTGTCTGGGAAGGGGCGGTGGAGGGCTATCAGAAGCCGGGCCCCGAGAACAGCAGGTGAGGCGCTGCAGTGGGGAGCCCGGGGTCAGGGGTGGCCCGTGGGCAGATGGGGGCACTGGGAGGCAGCCCCGGGGATCTGCAGCTGGGAAGCCCTGTTGGCCCCCGGGGGCGGGTGAGTCCGGCTGGTAGGTGCTGTAGCTGCCCCAGTGCCGGCTGGCTGCGGCGTGGAAGGGGTTAACGGCGACAGCTTGCCGGCGCCTGCCTGTGGGTCTCAGGGGTGCGTCCCTTTCAGGCCTTGTCTGTCCCTATCGGAGCGTCTCTCCTGTCACTCATCCGCCACCCAGACAAGAGCCCATTCTGCGCCTTATCAGCGGCTCGGCGCGGGTCAGGGGGCAGCGGCAGTGAGCATGCTCCGCGCGGGGTATTGATCGCCGCCTGCCAGATGCAGATGGATAGAATGAGAGCAGATAGCAGGGCACTCGGCGCGCATCGATCTGCCGGGCCCGACGGCCCCAGGCGGGCCCGGCCGGCGGCTCTGCCTTTGTCTGCACCAGGCGCGACGGCAACCGCGATAACGCCGCCCCCTGTGGCACTGGGCAGCTCCACGCAGCAGCTAACCTTTCCCTGCCGCGGGCCGCGGCCCAGCGCGATGGAGATGCTCCGGGGCCCGCGCCAGCAGGAGGGGCATGAGAACAGCAGGATGCATGTGCACAGACGAGGCGGGAGTTCCGAGCGGGGAGGGGCACGGGCACGAGAGCTGGGGAGAGGGGTGCACGGGGCACAAGAGCTGGGGGGCGAGTGGGGCACGAGAGCTGGGGAGAGGGGTGCACGGGGCACAAGAGCTGGGGGGCGCGTGGGGCACGAGAGCTGGGGACGGGTGCACAGGGCATGAGAGCTGGGGGGCGCGTGGGGCACGAGAGCTGGGGACGGGTGCACAGGGCATGAGAGCTGGGGGGCGCGTGGGGCACGAGAGCTGGGAGGCACATTGGGCATGAGAATTGGGGAGAGGGGTACACGGGGCACGAGAGCTGGGGCAAGGGTGCCCAGGGCACAAGTGCCAAGGTGGGGGTGCACATGGGGCCAAGAGCCAGGGAGGTGCATGTGGAGCACAAATTCTGGGGAGTGTATGTGAGGGGCACAAGAGCTGGGGGTTGCACATGGTGCACAAGCGTGGGGGCGTGTAGGGCATGAGGGACAGAGGTCTGCACTTGAGGTACGAGGGGTGCTGCACAGTGTAGGGGGCACAAGTGCCGGGGTGGGCGGGGCACAAGCCGCCCCTGCCATGTGGTTCCCCGTGACACTGGTGCCCCGGTGAGGGGTCCCTCCCTGCAGGGAGGAGAAGGAGCGTTGGATCCGGGCCAAGTATGAGCAGAAGCTGTTCCTGGCTGCACTGCCGCACTCGGATGTGCCCCTGGGGCAGCAGCTGCTGCGGGCCGTGGTGGAGGACGACGTGCGCCTGGTGGTGACGCTGCTGGCCCACGGCACCAAGGAGGAGGTGAACGAGACGTACGGGGACGGGGATGGGCGCACGGCACTGCACCTCTCCAGCGCCATGGCCAATGTTGTCTTCACGCAGCTGCTCATATGGGTGAGGAGAAACCCCTCGCTAACCCCGGTTCCCGGCTCCGATCCCCTCCGCCCCTCGCTGACCCCGGTCCCCCAGCCCCTCACTGAGTCCGGTTCCCGGCTCTGGTCCCCTCACTGAGCCCGGTTCCTGGCTCCGGTCCCCTCGCCCCTCGCTGAGCCCCGGTGCCCCGGCTCTGGTCCACCCTGCCCCTCGCTGACCCCAGTTCCCAGCTCCGGTCTCCCCGCCCCTCGCTGAGTCCGGTCCCCCAGCTCCGGTCCCCTGCCCCTCGCTGAGCTCTGGTCCCCCAGCTCCTCACACCCAGCCCCCTGCTGACCCCAGTTCCCAGCTTCTGTCCCCACACCCCTCCCTAATCCCGGTTCCTGGATCCTGACCCCCCACCCCTCGCTGAACCCCCTTTCCCAGCTCCTGACCCCCAGCCCCTCGCTGATCCCCCAGCACTGCCTTTCTGCCCCCTCCCATTGTTGATCTCCTGCACCAGGCCCTTTCTAAGTCCCACAACTCCCACGATTTCCTGAAACCCCACGTGGGGGTCCCCTTCCTGACCTGCCCCCATGTGACAATGCGGTTCTGGCGGAACCCAACTGAGAGTGCCAACTCAGGACAAATTGCTCAAACAGGGCAGTTACAGCCCAAGGCTGGGGTTTTTCCACCTCTAAGGCAAACCAAACCAGCCAGACTAAGACTTCGGTCTCACCCCACTGGCTAACCGCAAGTCTCACAAGCAATCTCCTTAGACACTCCAGTTTCCCAGTATTACCACCAGTGCCACACATTATGGGGACAAATGGTTATAAAAACCAATACCCCAGTAAAAGAAAAAGGTTCTCCTGATCCCAAAGGACCAAGCCCCAGACCCAGGTCAATATACAAGTCAGATCTTACCCACAAATCACG